GGCTTTATTTGTCAATTTAAATTTAAATTTTGAGCCAAACGATAAAATTTTTATAGGCAAGATGAAACCTTATTGTTTTCAATGTCTTAGGTGTACTTTTTTTTAAAAGCAGGCTGAAAACAAGATATTTCACAAACTTAGATCACAAAAGCGCATTTTTAGAAAATTCGAGTTGGGCTTTTGACACTTTTTCTAGGTTTGCAGCAAAAACTGTTTAGACTAGCATAAATGTCTCTATTAATAGCTCGAAATAATGACAAATAGATAAAAAATAATTTCTCGTATCTTGGATCGGAATTGAGTACCATTAATAACACTCGCCCCAGGCCCCTTTAGAGGAGATTATAGCTTTATTTGTCAATTTATATTAAAATTTTGAGCCAAAAAATAAAATTTTTATAGGCAAGATTAAACTTGATTGTTTTCAATGTCTGAGGCGTACAAAATCTTACACAAACTCAGATCACAAAAATACGTTTTGAAAAAATTCGAGTTGGGCTTTTGTTTTGACATAGATGCTCGTCGAATCATGCGCCCTATTAAACTTGTTATTCTGGTTTGCCCAGTTTCAAGTAACTCGTTGAAATAACTTGTTTATATCCTGTTTGTTGACTTGTTTATGCCTGCTTTGTTGATATTGCTATTACCTAGTGCTATCCATATTTGGTGATGGTAAAACTTGTGTATGCTGGTACCACCCCTTTCGCGCTGTTAACTTTACTTTTTTGGTAGTAATTTTTATGTTAGTATTCTTGTCACGCCGTTTTTTAGTTAGGATGTATTCCAAGTTGTCAGTCGATTCTTGTAGCCGAGAGTAGAAGACATGCCGGGCATGTAGACGTTTTTAGAAGCAAAGAAAGGCGAAAGACGAAAAAGCCAAATTGCTGTTGTTTTCTGAGGTCGTAAGTCCTTTGACGTTTCTCTTTTATGTCCATAATTATTTGTGAGGCTCGCAGTAGCTTTACATTGGTGCCGTGACCCGGGATTGCAAAGAAGAAAGAATTTTTCACTTTGTTATATTTTAACTTTTGCTGAACTTTCATCGTGTATGAATTTCCTGAATTTTGATGTGCATAGTATTGACATTTACCGTCAAGTACTTGCCTTGGTGATTCAATGGTTTGAAGACCAGCATTTCTTTGGAAGTAATTAAAGCGATATCAAGACTCTGTTTTACGCAGCGATTAACTCAAACTCTGGTTTTCTTTGCTTTGATTATTTTTACAAACTTTTGCTTGCCGTATTTATTCAACGTGTACAATTCAATGACAAGAACATTTATTCTGTGCATTTATGGATATAAACAGAACACTGGCTTTCACGCAGTTTTATTGAACGCCAATATCGCCATATCACTTTTTGCTGTTGTTTGTTTTATCCGTATGGTTAGTCAGTTCAATTGCCTATTTGATTTCAATTGCTGATAGAATTAATTTGCTGCTCGGTATATTAACTTTGTTGTTAGCATAAACGAACTTGAACAAAAATGGAAGAGGTAGTTAGTGAGATACAGACTCAATTAACTGCCGTTCAGGCTGCTTTAGAGGGCAATACTCAGTCAGGTCTTTTCCAGCTTCGTTCATTTAATGGTTTACCAAACGAAGATATTAACGAATGGCTCTCTTGTTTCAAAACACTCGCAAAGTTTCATAATTGATCACAAGCTAAAAGATTAAATGCCTTGCCACACTCTTTAGGGGGACCTGCAAAAGCTTGGTAGGATACCATGCCCCCTGAAACTGTTGGTGATTTCAGAACTCTTACCCAGGGACTAAAAGAACGCTTTGGTTCACAGTCGTAAGAGTTTCTTTTTTGTCAAGAACTGTTTGCAAGAAAACAAGGTCATAGCGAGCCATTGTCTTTATACACGTAAGACGTTATAAGGAAATGTCAACGGCTCGGTCTGTCAGACAAAGATTTGATGAATGCCTTTATTAATGGTCTGTGTGAAGACATTAAAAATCATGTGATCTTGAGCCAGCCAAAATCATTTGCTGAGGCGGAAAACCTTGCCCAATTGAGAGAAGCAGTCTCTAAAACGTCAAGTCCCCTGTTTTCAGGAACACAATCGGTTCTGCAGGAACAAAGGCTAAAAGAGTTAGAAAACAATGTAAATCTTTTGGTTTCTCTTGCCGCCAAGAAAAAAGGTCAAATTCAGGCTCCTAGGATTTTTGGTAGTATTTCCTCGGGTTTTCATCAAAACGTCTAAAACTAGTTCAAGTGCATTAAATATGAAGGAAGAAATCATTGCTGCCATCAACACGGGTTTTCAAAATATCCAGCAACCTCAAAAAGGGAAAAACCAATTTTTCCAAAAGGAGGGCAGCACATGGCAGAAATTTGCAGAGGACCGATGGTAAACCAATTTGCAATGTTTGTCACCGGGTCGGCCACGTTGCCAAATACTGTAATGAACACCCACAACCAAGTTGGGTTCCTGCTAACTAGTCAAATGCCATTTACGCTCCTCCGCAACGCAGACAGCAATTTGGGTATCACAACAGGGCGTCCTATCAAGGAGATCAAAATTTAAATGGACAAAGGCCTTCACAGTGGGGGAACTGAAGGCCAGAGTCGTGTATGTATACCCTTAAGACCCCGGACCACAAACTAATTCTGGAATACAAAGTTTCTCTTCAAAAACTATTGATTCTAATGATTCTGTGCAGCCAAAAATGACACATTATTTGCCAAAACATGAAAGTCGTAAGGACAGTTTCGCAGAAAATTACACTCTAGAGTCCAAAACGGTAGAGAACATCGTTCCAGCTATTGCTGCAGATGAAAAACTGTTTATTTCAAGCCCAGAAAATGTTCTGATATGGGGAATTGTTTTGAGCAGCCATTTAAATTGCTGTTGGACAGGGGTGCTGACCAACCATAATACCAGACCAAGGTTTTTGGAAAGGAAGGCAAGAAACGCATAGCCTTATTCAATTTTTCAAAGAAACAATGTCAGGCTATGAGCCTTAACAGAACAAGTAGCATAGGCTGGTCATTTTATCTTCATAGCTCCGCTTGAATTGATATTCAATTAATACAAATATGACGTTTTCCTGACAAAAATGCAAATAGATTTGCAGCTGGTGAAGTTGTTATTTCAGTTTTCAAATTTGGAGTTTTCAGGGTTTTATAAAGCCACTAGCAAGGGGCCCACCTGGAAATATACTGGTGTCCCACCTAGAAAAATACACCTTTTGGCTAAATACATTCATTCATTTATTCATTCATTTTGCAAACGTCGTATCATGACAAGCAATGCCCCAGTTTCATCTAGTTTTTACTTGATGAAATTTCCACGTCTATAACAAGTTTCCCAATCAGATATTTACACTACAAATTTCAAAGAAATTTCCTCTTACGGAAATTTGCACCCTGAATCTCATTTATTTGTCGGAAATTTTAGCTACGAATTTCTTAGAAACTTCTTTCTACATGCCAGATTTCAGCTAATTTTTTCGGGTTTTGGTCGAAATCAATCAAACAGTCTTTGCGCCAAAGTTTATGCTTCATTTTACAGTCTTTTTGCGGTGTGGTAATTTTCGATAATAGAAATCAAATATTATTCAAGAAATTCTATGTGAGTTTATCAGATGCTTTCAGTAAAATATTAAATTACTTCTAAGTGCCATATCAATTTGGTCTGTAATGCAGGCTACACCACAAATTGCTGGTATTGAGGGAAAACAATAGAGGACAAGCAACAAATAGGTGAGATACCGTTTTGAATAAGATTTAGATTGGCCTAATTATATTAGGGGTCAAAGAAAAGTGAATTTTATGTCACAGTTAACCAAAATGGAACGTTTATGGATTAATGTCGCCACTACTTCTTAAAAGACAAATAAATTTGTGAAATGTTTTGCAATGAAATCAGCAAATTTCTACTAACTGGTTTCAATTAGTTAGTAGTTAGTTTCATATTTCGTAATAGAAAATATGAAAGTGAACTGATTTTAGTTAGTTATTTGAGACATTGTTTTGTTTGTTCCGTTGCGCTAGTCCGCAAAGTACATTTATGACGTGTAGTTAGATTAGGACTGGGACCTAGTTTTAGGCCGTTTTTTTAGAATTCCGTGAGCATTTTGAGTTTTGTTACAAAATGGGAGCGTGAGAAGACAATTTTCGTGATTATTATAATTAGTGACGGTATGCCTAAACAATTTGGTACATCTGGCGATCCTGCTACAATTTGTGAGGGTGTACCTTGACAAAGTTTACAAATTCGGTACAAAAGCTTCTTTTTTAAATTTTTGTTTCAAATGGACCATATTCAAAAGACGAGTTCCAATTCCGTTAACTGAGACAGTTTTCATTTATTTACCTTTCAGTCAGTCCTAAATACAATTCTACACTTGTACATCAAAACAAAATGCTTAAAAATACCATACAACAAAAACAAATTAAAGTTACAAAATTCTGGAATAGAATTTAACATTATGATTAAATGGTTAAGGAGGAGCTCTCTAAATATATTAGCTTCTCCATGAAGCACCCTCTCATAAAGCATGAATAAAAATTTAACAAGATTTATTTCATAAATTTGTGTTGCTTTCTAAACTGTACACAACTTTCCTCCCTCACGAAAATTATTGAGAAAGCCTAAGATGAATAAAGTTTTAATGACTGATTTCCAAGTGTGGGGGTATATAATTCATTTTTTGGATATTCATCAGAACTTATGCCATTTTTTCAACAGACTGAATATTAGCATCACAACTTCTGCTGATAACTCTTTGTTTGATGACACAATTGGAAATTATGGCCAATGGACAAGGAATAGGGATTGATACCATGGATGAAGAAATCATGTGTGCTTACACTGGAAAATGCATTAGGAAATGCCCTTGCCTCATGAACAGGAGGAAATGCAGCCCAGAATTCAGCGAAGTAAATAGCATCATATTTCAGCTGAATTACAATCCTGGATGCAATTTGATTTGAATTTATTACCTTGTTTCTTATAAATTGTTTATATTGCTAAGGAACAGTCACATGCCTGGTGAACAGTCACATGCCTGGTCAATTGCTATTGCGAATGTATATATTTACAAAGCACAGAGACTTTATTTGTATATTCTGCTTTTTAAGCTGTTTCTAAAAAAAATTTCAACATCTTTTTCACCTTTATAGCAATATTCAAATATGATTTAACTCTAGTCATCAGATTTTTTAAGCTGTCCTTAGGTTTTATGCTAATGGAAGAATGTCTCAGATAATATAGCCGAAAAAAGTTATTGACAAAAGCCAAATGAGTAAATAATGAGTAAAATGCTGCATAACTAAATGTTTTGGAGAAATTTGCTTTTCATTGATCCATTTATCCAGGTTATGTTAGGGCTTAAATTTGGAACAAAGTAATAGATTCGAAAAGGACACTTAGCTTAAATCGTCTTTTACCGGAACAATGCTTGGTTGGAGAAGGATGATGTAATAAATCGCCTTTGTCTTATGGCCAAAATGTCCCATCTCCTTTGGAAGCGTGTCAGTGAAATGTCTGTCCAAATCGATGTGTCCACTGTTTCTGAAAAGAGTCCTTTGTGGTGTGTCTGTGGTGAATGCACGGAGATGCCTCTAGAAAAAGAGAGAGTTTGCTGTAAGAACAAAGAATATGGGCACCAATACCCACTCTTTGAGCACCATGTCTTGTTCAAGCCTACCCTAGAGTTGGCAATACGTAATAATGCAGACCATCTTCATTACCCTTTGACGGAAGCAACAATGCCTGTTGGCGGTTTACAGTTTACCGCCAGTACTGTCTATGGGCCTGGGGTAGGCTAGGAAAGCATAATGGGAAAGTGATTCCCTCTTGCTGTGTTTGGATGATAAGGGATAAATTTCCTGATCAAAATGCAAATTTAGGGCTTGATTATAAGAGAGAAAACGTCCTGCTCAGCCGGGACGGGAGGTTCGTCGAGATCCTTCACTTGCAGTCAAACCATTGTAAAAACCAATTTGTAATTACATGACAAGAACACCCCTGTCCCGGCTAGACGAGATAATTTTCCCAAGCGGGATCTCGTTGTTGATAAAGCGGGATCCCGCCTGACCAAGACGTTTTTTTTCCATATCATCAGATCATCCCGGTAAGACCGGGCACTTGCCAGGACATTCAACATTAACACATGTGCAGTACACACAAGTTTATCCAAAATGGCTTCCTCTGAAATAGAACCAGAAAATGTAATCCGGGGTATAACTGAAAAAAGCAAAAGAAAAAAGACGTTCAGGTGGACACCATCAATGATCGACTACTTAATAAGCTCTCTAGTAAATTACCGTGCAACTATGGAGTTCAAATGTTCAACACCTAAAACTGGTAAAAGAAAGGCAACCACACCAGCTACACCAATGCTAGTAGACAAAAAAGAAGACATCTGGAAAAGAAGTTGTCAGCCTCCCAAAGAGATGCTATGAAAAGTATAGGGGAGTCTATGAAGGTTCCTACAACCCTATGAAGGTTCCTAATCCTACAACATTTAGATTTAAGCTGCCTAAAATGCCTTAAGTAAGATCAAAGCCATCTTATGGAACATACAAGATACGCATGAAACACATGAGAAATGGCGCAGAGGCAAATATTTGCACCCTAAAATTTACAAAAATGAGTACATCAATATTTAGTAGACTAGAAAATACAAAATTAACTGTATCTAGTGAATACAATGAGCTACATCCATTAGAACGGGTGGTACCCATGTTTGGTATTACAATTTTTATGACCTTGAGAGTGCTCTCAGCAGGTCGTTTAGAAAAGGTAAATACAATAAAACTGCAACATCACCTTCTGTCTCAAACCAGTCTGATTCGCAGGGTCTACCTGCGTTTGTGTTGTACCCTCTCTGTTTCGTTGTAGCGTAGGCTTCTCTCTCTTTATGGTTCCGCCGCGTCTGATATCTGAATGTTGACTGATGTCTGAAGTCACAAACAACATGGTATTTTTTCTTTTTCTTAAAATGCTTCTTTGAGCAACTTTTAAGCTTCTGAAAAACTTTCTTGGCTCGACTCTTACTGCCAAAGCTTCAGTCCTCTCCATCCGCCATTCCAATACTACAGACAACCACAACCACTGGTAGCGAGGACATGTTAAAAACGCATAGATTGTTCCTTTTAAGGGAAAACAGAAACAAAGATTGTGTTCGTTTTAGGGGCGAGGACAACCTGCATAAATACCTTGTCTTTCCTGAGCCAGATTGATAAAGACAGTTTTGTGCTGTTTTAATCAGATGAGGGGCATCTGAGAAAAAGAAAGTAAATTGTTCAGGTGAATATAAATTCCTTGTGCAGTAGGTGACAGGCTTATTAGAATCCCCATCCATGTTCTTGTGCAAACTGAAGAAGCGCCGGTTAGGTGCTGTCCCATCTGCTGTAACCGCAATTACCCATAAGTTGCAAGTGCATTCCAGGATGCAGACAGCCTCCCAGAACAACAAGAAAATTTCAACTCCTGACATCTAACCCTTTGAGGCCCAAATGAGGCAAAGGAATACCAAAGATCAGTACAGACACCACGCAGCAGAAATACCATTGCATGAGAAGCAAGTTCATCAACTTTTTTAATTGTTCCATAATTTAGTTCTGGGTCTCCTAAATCTGTGAACCCAATCAAGTTTCCAGTGTCAAATACAAGGTTTGCCTTTATCTTCATTTCATCTATTAGTACCACAACATACCTTTCAAGATCAAAATAACTCTTGGTCTTGTCAACAAGATCCAAGATCACTTCTTCATTTAATCCAGTCTTTGGTTTAATGAATTTCTTGTAATCTCGTAAGGTTCTTTGACTTGGAAGAATAAGGACTTTGCTGTTTCTCAATTCCTCATAGCAAGCAGGGGACTTTGCAGAAAATGAAAGGCAAACCTGATAACCATAGGATGGTATCTAATCCCCTTTGGTTTTGCTGAGAAAAGCTTTTTCTGCCGTTCCCAAAACAGTTTCATAAAAGTTGGTTTCATTCAGTGTTTGATTGATCAAGAATTGTTAAAAAGTCTCTACTTAAATCATCATCAACTCGAAAACTTGACTGAAAAAGCTCTTCTTTATTGAACAATTTCTTTTTGCAAGCTGTGCACATTTTATTCTTTGTGCTTGAAAAGTGAGCTTTATTCTCCAAGGACTTGTCTTTGACACTGGGGCTTTGGTTTTTGCAGGTATCATAGATCTTTGTTTTCTTGCTCCCATTGCCTTGATGATAGAGCTCTCATTGTCTACTGACTGACAACTTTTGCATTGTTGACCTTCGTCTGTGAGCATTTCACAGAGAACAGATCTCCTATATCTTTACAAGGATATGGTTGATGTTCCTCGAGGTCTTTTGGAATGACATGCATGATGATATTTTTTGCATTATTTGTTCTTTGGGCTCCTGAGCAAATAGGAAAGCTTTAACTTGACGTCTGAAATAATTTATGGATGAGATTATGATTGACACTCTAGTGTCTCTGATGTGTTAAAAGAACTCAAATGGCCAACCCTTCAAGAAAGGCGCTATGCTGCAAGGTCATGCCTCTTCAGGCAGTAAATGATTATATTGCTGTTAACATTCCATTCTACATAATGGCACCAATACAGCTTCAAGGGAGAAGTCAGCGGCAGTTTATCAATATTGGCGCTAATATCAACTTCATTTTTCCCAAGAACTTTCAGATATTGGAACATGTTACCAATCGAATACAGGCAACTTAAGGAAGAGACATTTTTAAGAGGAAGCTTCAGAAGCTTTTACCTCAACTGGCAGAGTATTCTTTCTCCCCAGAAGGTCAAGCACTATGTCTGTATGGTGATCCAGCATACCCCCATAGGGTTCATTTACAACGCCCATTTCCTAGAAGCCCTTACCTGACACCAGAAGAGCATGCATTCAATCAGTCCATGAGCACAGTTAGGGTGTCAGTTGAATGGATTTTTGGTGATATCATCAATAGTTTTAAATTCATGGACTTCAAGAAAAATCAGAAAATTGGGTTGAGTCCTGTGGGTCAGTTCTACATTGTCAGTGCTCTCCTTCGTAATGCCAATACCTGCTTGTATGGATCAAGTACCTCAGAGCATTTTAATCTCCAGCCTCCTGCACTTGGAGATTATTTCATATAAATATGCCAAAGGAGACCAGCAAATTTAAAACCAAAAAAGTTTTTTTAAAAACTACCACTTGGCCAATTATTTCAAACTCAGTTATGCACACGGTTTTGACAACTTTCATGACCACATTTCATCGAAATAATAACATACTTTAGTGCTTAGAAGAGGACAGCTCCAAGTTGCAACTCCTAGTTTCAGGCAAAAACAAAAGAAGCTCTGTCGATATAGTACCAAGCACTTTTATTACAGCCTTGTGCACAGTAATTTTCACAAGTAACAACACAGCAAAGGTCAATAGATTGTAAACTATCTTAAATTTTAAAAAATACTGCAATCAATGTTATTAAGGTTTGAGCATTGCTATTTGCAAATGATTTTCAAAAAATTTTGATGTTTCTTGTTGGAAAAAAGTACAGGCTGAAAGGCTGAAAGTTGTAATGTGGAAAAAGTTCAGAATATAAGTAAATTAACATGTTTTCTCAAGTAGCTACTGCTCTCAATAAAAAGCAAAATTTTTTTATAAAAATCATGCTCATTAATAGAAGAGAAAATTTTGGCAGATAAATGGAATTTTCAAATGGAAGCCACAGTGATTCAACCCTTAGTATTTAAGTTAATTGTAGGCATTTGCATTTTTAGAGAAATCCATGAGAGCAACAAACTTTAAGCCATGCACTTCTGAAAATATGGTAAGAAGATGGAGACACCAATGGTACTTCATAGACACCCAATTTTTAACCAATTCTAAGCTTTTATTGGAGTGGGTAATATTTGAATTTTCAAATTTTGGTCAATAAAATGTTTTTAAAAAAATACCTCAAAATTACTAGTCTGAAGAGCTTTGTTTAATTAAATTCATTATCTTAGCATTTTGCTCTTTGATCTCCTGCAAAATAAAATGCTGCTGTTGCTGCTGTTGATTCAAAAAATTGACTTTCTCCTCAAGCTGCAGCAGCATATTATTTTGCCATTCCTCCCTTTGGCAACATTGTAGTTTCCCCTCTACTTCCTTTTCTTTTATTTTCAAGGCCTTCTCTTTGACATCCAGTTCTCTTTCTTTCAACTGCAATTTCTTTTCCATAAAATGCTTCCCCCTTTCATTTTTTTCTTTCAAATACTCAATTGTGTCTGAGCCATAATAGTGTCTCTTCTTCCTCTTTCCTGTTCCTTGCTTCTCTCTCTCTGTCTCTGCTAATGTTTCCATTGAGCGCTTTCTAACATTCTCTGCGACTTGCTTCTCATTCTCCTCCCTCTTCTTTTCAATTCCTCTCCCAGTTTTCACTGCCTCCTCCATCATTTCAATAATATTTTCTAGGGCTTCATCAAGCTCTGTCATTTCTGGGGATATCCCACTTGCTCGTTCCTCGCTAGCCATTCTTTTTCTAAAGTATCTCTCCAACTTTGAGAATCTATCTCTTACTGCCCTCTGGTCCACAAAAAACTTTGGGTAACTTAAAGAACTCAAATTTTCTGCAATTTAATCCCAGCATTGGCCCCTTTCTCTACTACCCACTTTAAATCTATATGGCTCCAGAACAAGAATCTCACGGCATAATGCAACATCATGTGCAGTTGTCCAACTCATCTTGGGCCTAAGCGAAATTTATCTTTAAAATAAAAAAGAAAAGCGCAAGAAACATAGACATTTTTTTGCCAGTAATATTTATAATTTTATACAAACTTTAATGCCAAAGAATTCAAAACGTCCAAAAATAAAGTTAAATGTACATTGTTCAATTAAAATGTCGTAATCTTACATCGAAGGCTCAAAGGAAATTTTGAGATTGAATTACTAGCATAATAATTTACACAAAACAAGAACTACATCAGTTTTGATAGTCTACCTGTCACAAATAGATACATGATAGGCCTACTACTTCGATAAGAAATTTATGGAAAGTTCCCTTCAACGGAAGAGGGCTATAAAATCTGCAAAGTGCTTAGAAATACATCAACTAACACACATTTACATTAAAAGCAAGAAATGAAGGTTCTATATCGATTCTTCAATTTGTACTGATAAGAACTAACATTTGAATTCGGCTTGCTTTCTTCTCATTTGATGCGCTCATCTTGAGTTTGATAAAGCAAAGAAACAACGTGTTCTAAAAAATGAAAAGTTTCGATGAAAGTTTGTTGAAGCTAGTTTTGATATATCATTGAAACAAAACGATTAAGCGAAAATATTCCTATAAAAATATAATGCATACTCACAGATCTAAAGGTTGTTTTCCACTAGGCGGAAAACTGCGAGCGGTCCGCTTCGCACGCTCATCGGACATGCGCATTGGTAAGCTTAGTCCAAATCAAGCGGAGATTTCGAGCACGCTGAAAAGTAGAATCAAGTTCTACTTTTTGGGCGGACCGAGTGGAAATTGTGTTAACAATGGATGGAAGCTTGGTTCCCCTAGATCTGCAATCTGTTATTGCAACAATGATAAAAGCTCAAGCATCGCAAGGATCACCTGGGCCTTCGTCGTCGGATGCAATGTCATCTCAACAAGCCACATACTTGCAACAAGAACCTCTGTCTGATGAGTTGCCTAGGACAGTTACTGGGGAATTTGATGTGGAAATTTTCATCGAAGAACTTAAGAACTTCCCATGCTTGTGGAATACTTCACTGAGAAGCTATCACGAAAAGCACACAAAACAAAATTCATGGATGGTTCTATCGGAGAAATTTGGTAAAAATGGTAAGGATGGAGTTGCTTTGTTTCAGTAGTCAGCCTGTCACCAATATTTTTCCTCCAAGAGCATCTGGATTTCTCCAGGAGCATCCCAGGGACACCTATACTATTTGGGGTTTGCCTATTACTGTTCTGCAATGTTGTGTGAGAATCCACAATCAAAAAATTCTTTATTTCTTTGAAGATTTGCTTTAAACTACTAGGAAAGGGTTAATTTTTGAAAAAAATAAACCTTGAATTAAACTTGACATTTTTTCTCTAGTTGATTTTCTCAAGACACAGTTAAAGTATCTAAAAGATAATTTGAAACGATGTCTGGACAAAAGAAACAAGGAAACAAGATCTGGAGCTTCACACACAAAGTTGCCAAAATGTAAATATTTTGATCAGCTTTCATTCATGCATGACAAGGTTTCTAGTCGTCAGACAGAGAGCAATGTTTCACTTGAACCAACCGAACCAACCTGTTCAGAATTAACAGACAGAGATGTTTGTCCAAGCACAGATTTATTATCAAAGGAAGAGCCTGTAAAAAGGAAAAATTTAGAAATTCCAAATGGGAAGGGGAAAAAGGCAAGACAAGATTTGGGATTGGCAGTTGATGCCATGTTATTATCAACTATCAAGGATATGTCACAAAATGAGAAAAAAAATACTGAGACATCCATTAATGAAGATGCTGATTCCCTCTTCTGCAGGAGCTGTGCTGCCACCCTGAAGAGACTACCTCCAAAGAAGAACAGTGAAGCCAAAATGGAAATCCAGCAATTGCTATATAATATTGAGTTTTCAGACTAAAGCTTTGAAACACCAAATTGATTTGTATCATAAACTGATTGTTATCTTTTGACTAATTTTACTTACCATAAATTCTCTTTTAAATCCCCTCTCAGTTAAGCCCCCTCTCTCCTATTAGCCCCCCTTTTAGAAGCAAAAAATTTAGAAGCCCCTCACTCTATTAAGCCCCATCCCCCAAAAGCATTGAATAGTGTCATAAATAAGCTTGAAGAAAGTAGTTGTATTAAGCCTGATCACACTCAATAGACAACAGTTTTCAATAAAGTGCACTACTGAGAATTTTTGATATTTGAGAAATATATTTAGCCCCCTCTCTCTTTTAGGCTTCCCTCTTTAATAAGCCCCCTTTAGAGTGCTTGAAATCAATAAGGCCCCTGGGGGGCTTAGTAGAGAATTTATGGTATTTGCTATAATAATACTGTTCTGTTCACATTTTGTGCCAAAAGTATACAGAGATGTTCTCAAGGTCAGAATAGAAGACAACTAAGGCCTTTGCTTCACAACTATATTTTGCAAGCACCCCCCCCCCACCTTAAAGAAGGAGAAAATATTTTGAACCCCCTAATTTGCCACAGTGACTATGAATAAGATCACTATCTATAGAATTTTATAAGTATGACCAAAATATATAGATACAATATTATATATAGATATATGATATAGTTAGAGAAACATACCCCCACTTGGCATTGCATTGTGCACCCAAAAGGGTTTACTCCACTATTTGAGAATAACTGTCTTTTGTCTAATAGAGAGTTTGGGAAAGAAGAAAAAAGCTAATATGGCTATGCTAGTCTAGGCTACAAAATTCTGTTTTTCAAAGCCTCCAAAACTTCAAAGTAATTGTTATGTTATCAAGCAGGTCAAATTTCTTAAATAGCAATGTTCTTCTTAGGAATTGTTCAAGTAATAAATGGAGGGAGCTGGTTTTTGTGTCACTTATATGAAGGGGGGTATTCACTCTAAACAAGAGAGTCTGATAGCATATTTATGGTTATTTTGATAATATTTCAATAAAATGTTTGAGATTATCCAGTTTATTCTTCATCAAATCTATTAGCAGTTGATCTGACTGTTTGCCATTGCCAACTAAGGGTGCCCTCTTTGCAAAAATAATCTTTGAAGTCATCTCTAACTATTTTAGCTTCCTTTGAATAGTTATTGGAACCTTGACTTTGGATCTCTATTAAGCCTTCACAAGACTGGGCCTCTTCTCTCCACATTCCAACGTCTTGATCCCTATCTACAAAATTTGAAGGACAGTATATGCATCTGTCAGTCTCATCCAATGACATCAAAAATTGTGCAAAGCCACAATGGCTTTCGTTATAGCAATGACAGTGTCAACCTTTCCAATTATAGGTCGACGGAAAATCCTAAATCTTGCAGCCGCGATTCCAAAGGTATTTTCTATGACTCGCCTTGCTCTTGATAGCCTGTAATTGAAAACACGCTTATGTTCATCAAGGCTATGGCAAGGGTATGGCTTTAGCATATGCTGCTTCAATGAAAATGCTTCATCAGCAACAAATACAAATGGGAACACTTTTTGAGTTCCATGTATCACTTCCGGTGGGGGGAGATTCAATTTTTGATTTTCAATTGCAAAGCCAAGTTTGCTGTTTGTGTACACCCCACCATCGCTTTGTCTCCCAGCATCACCTACATCAACCAAGACAAACTTATAACTAGCATCACAGGTCGCCAAAAGAACGATGCTATGTGTTCTTTTGTAATTGTAAAACTCAGAGCCACTTCGTGAAGGGGCTTGCATTACAACATGCTTCCCATCTATTGCCCCTAAGCAATGTGGAAAATTCCATTTTTCATTGAAAGCTTTGGCAATTGTTTTCCATGCAGCTTGACTATTTGGAACTGATAGAAAATTCCTTTCCAGAAGCACCATCCACACTACTTTACAAGTCTCTTCAACAATCCTTCCAACTGTAGTAGGGCTAATTCGATAGCTTAAGGCTATTGTTGACTTGGCATCACCCGTAGCTAAGTACCGTAAAGTCACAGCAAGGCGCTCATTTGGATGTACTGGCTCACGAAACCTTGTTGTCTGTCTTATTATGTGTGGAGCAACCCAAGATAATAGTTTTTCAAAGGTAGATGGTGACATGCGAAAACAAGCAAAGAAAAGCTCATGATCAAATAATCTTAACTCGTTCACTAACAAGTGAAATTCACCCTTCAAGTGACGGTCTTGGTAAATTTTTCTGACCCACATTTTTTTCTTGTATTTTTCTTCATTTCTTCTTAATCTTCTCCGCAGCAGAACCAACAACAGAAGCTTTATTTTCATTTGTGAACTTACGGCGGCCATCTTGTCTCGTCTCTCCCACGCTCCGTCCCTTATTTTCCGCCAAGCAATTTCCATCAGGAGGAAAAACCGCTTGGTTTTACGAGCGGACCGCTCACATTTTTCCGCCTAATGGAAAACAACCTTAAGACGACGATGAATCGGGAAAATCTCGGCCGCTTCATTTTCACTACGACCAGAAATGGGGGTTTCCTTGGAGAATCGCGCTAGATCCAGGCTACTTTGGGTCGTCCTATTGATCGTCGTCGTGAATCGTAAGCTCTCTATTCTTGAACAGCATTCAGTACTTTCATCAATACGATGTTTTATGGTCTTCACTTCCAAGTTTTTTGAAAGACTGTAGCACAATTCAAGAATTTGAAGGAAAAATAAAACAGTGGAATTTCAAATCATGCACCTGCAGATGGCGTAAAGTTTTTATCAAAGATTTAGGGTTTTTAGATTAATTAATTTTGTCATTTCTGGGTATTGTTTTTCTTTGTAAATTATAATGTATTTTCTTTTAGTTCTAGTTGGCCTTAATCAGGGGCGGACTGGCTGGTCGGGCTATTAGGGCAATCGCTTGAAGGGCCGGTCGGTTTAAGGGCCGGTCGGTTTAAGGGCCGGTCGGTTTAAGGGCCGGTCGGTTTAAGGGCCGGTTGATAAAAGTGCAAAAAAATAAATTAGTTTAAAAAGTGAATGCGAGGCAAAAAAGTTTCTCCTTTCCTTTGAAAATACACTTTTCACAGCACTAACCGTGTTATCTAAATTGACGCAGAATCCAAAGCATTAATCGATTGCGCGTGCGCGAACTGGACAATGTTCAGTAGAGTGGCAAAACGACTGAACAATTTCTGTACAACATCAGTGAGCAAAAGAAATTTAATCCTGTCCACTGAACATTTTTGGCTGCCTTCAAAATCGACTGAACAACATTCAACATCGCTGAACAAGACTGGACAAGGTGGCAAAAGGACGCAACATTTACGCTGGACATTTGTCCAGTCCATGTTCAGTGAAAATGTCCAGTCGTTTTGCTGGGGCTTAAGATTTTAACCTGACCCGATGTCTTTTCACTTAGCTTTTGCTTGAAGCTGGGCATGTTTTTCCCTAAGCACAAGCTATTGCTAAATGTAATAAATTTAAAAGTCCAAAAATTAGAGTTCACTAAACGATTTGCTCTGTGATGTGAAGTAATGAAGAGGACATACGTAGAACAAGGGAAGAGCAAGAAGACTTCAACCAAAGGTGGTGCACAGAAATTTCGTGAGGAAAAGCTGTGAGACTTGAAAAAGGATTTAGCTACGATTCAAAGCTTTTTTTATCAAGCAAAAGCCACAAACGTCACAAAAACAGCAGGGTCTTGCTCTTGCTTCTTTCAATAAACTCATACAAGTTATGGTAAATTCGTTAGGCATATACTATCATGTATCATAAGTCAAATGGGCCCCCTGCCCAACTGATAAAATTTCAACAGGGGGCCCATGTTTTCTTTTTGGGGTCAGAAATTGACAAATCGATATTTTTGGGCAGCTGAAAATCATTGTGGTTTTCCGAAATCAAAAAAATTAGCCAGTCCGCCTCTGGCCTTAATTAGCTGTTATTTTAGCTATTTGGTTTATAAAGCCAACTTTTAAATAAATCGATAATTTTTTTTAAATCTCATTTTCATCTCATTTTCATTGAATACATTTTAAATTTACAATTTTACGACTCGCTTTTACAGGCATCATATAATTGGCTTATCTGCATTACAATATTTAGAAGTCAATCAGTTCGGGGCTTAGCCATGGTTAGTTTCGACGACAGAAGATATAGTAGGTACAGCGGATAGAAATGTTCATGAGTTGCATCAAAATGGATTTAGTTTGATTTGAGTCAAAACTGAGTTGATGTAGCATGTCGGAGAGAGAGGTAGATGAGGTTCCCAGAATGCCAAGGGCACTCATAGAAAGGTTAACAAAGGTAACACGTTTATAGGCAGGGCTCAGTTTCTTGATAATATCGCTATATTTCCTAGCTTTTTGAGTACTGTTTTCGTTGATGTTGCTTTCGAACCCAACAGTAAGCTCTAGCATGTAAAGGATTCGATCTTCAGTTACAAAGACAAGATCTGGTCGATATGAGTCGCCCGTGATTAAAGAGGGTGATCGAAATGAAGGCAGGTCGGTGTAAAGTGAGCTTTTTCTAGGTGTTGAAAGGGTTTTAGGGAAATATAGAAGTACAGAATCATGTCTCCAGGTATACCTACCATGTTCAAGATATTTCTTGCAGCTAGAGACTATGTACTGTAATGATTCTGATTGGAGACAGAAAGAGCAGGCAGATGATTGAGTAATTGACCATTTGCAGAGGTTTTTCCTAGTGGCAAGAGAGTTGTTTAGGTATTTGATGGTAAAGTTGTAAATGTTTTCTGGTAACTTTTGCTGGACACTAGACCAAAGTTGATTAGTTCCCTTAGAAGCAAATTTTAGGATGCACGAGATAATAAATCATTGAGGTGTAAGAACGTTTTCAATGCAGTTTTTGTGTTTATTTTGGATGGATTTGAGAATTTGTTTGGTGTTGCAATAAACGTCATATTGTATGTTTGTACCAGTGCTAGAGTCGTTCCATAAAGAGCCAATCTGGTTTTGGATCGACTATAAACCTGGTTTAGATCCTCTGCAAAAAGCTTGTTTGTTGGGCACTGCTAGAATAACGAGAAAAGTTTTGGATTACCGCAAAAATGACGAAATACAGAGCTGGAAAAGAAAGACTGGTTTGCATGGAAGACTAAAGATCTATTATCTTAAGCCACGGGAGGTGGCCTGATCATAGACAAAACACTGGTATACCATCAAGACCATGAGAAGAGTTGAATAATAAAATGTTCAAGTCACCACTTTGAGATCAAAACTAGTCCTTTGGGATTAATTTGAGCAGAGTTCCGTCCTTGTATGACTCCTTAACAATTTGTTGTTCAATTGCCTCTGCATTTTAAAATTGTATTCAGGTCAGGACTTCTTGGAGGTATCGGCAACAAGTTCGCCAAGAACTTTTCTATTGCATGTTTTGACTTCTTGCTGTTCTGGCTGGGATCCCCATCTTCAATAAACACTCGGCTTTCTTTTTGGCTTTTATCAAACAGCTCTGAGAAATAAAATAAAATCTATTTTGTTAACGTTTGGTGTCTTGATGCTTTGTTTTTCTTTATGATAAGCTCTGTATAAACACTTCCAAACTGGAAGCAGAAATTTTTTAAATAGCTTTGAATCCTCATCTGATTAAAATTGTTCGGTGATAATCTCTGGTGTTTGTCCAAGATATGTGTTTCCTTTGAATGTTCAGAAAAAGATGTAAATGTGAACACCTTTGTATCGTGAAATACTTTTGATTCAATTTGTTTATTCGAATTACTTGAAATGCCCTGCCAATTACATAATTTCCTTTTCGCAATTCTATCAACGATTTGGGCAACCTAATAAACAGACCAAGATGGAACTAACATTTCCAAACCTTTTGCACTATGTAAGTGAAAGACTGGAGCTATATCCATAGTCATAAGAGCTGCCTGAGCTTTGGTACAGAGCAGCTGCACAATCAGGACAACTAAGGGACTCAACTAAGGGAACAAATTTTCATAATATAGCCAGAAATGTATAGAAAGACATTATTTCTCAGAATCTTTGGCTCATCTCCCAAAATGTAATTTTATATCTTGATTATTGACTTCAAGTGAAAGGGCAAAAATTCTGAAAGCAAGGGCTCTGACAAAAAATCAAAATATTACATGAATAATAGGCTGATGTCTTTTTCGTCACCTGGGAACAAAAATTTACAAATCTTTCCTCTGGGCAACTCTTCATTACTACATAATGATAGTGGTACCAACCAAATTTACAATCTTTGTTTTCTCATAAAATCATCCTCCCATCTTTTGGTCTTTTACAGGTACAATATAAAATAACATTAAAATTGGTGTGGTTGTCGTCCTCAGATTTAATAAAGCTTCTTCTTTCTGAGGGCTCCACGGTCTTTCTGAACTCAGTCTCCTCTCCAGAAACAGGTGATACATGGTTTTCAAATCCCTCCTAAAAACGGCGAATATCTGGTCTTTTGACATGCCTACAAATATATAAACCATTGCTACCACGTGTACAATCTAAACAACAAGCCATAATGGCGGAATCAAAGAAACTTCCTCGCTGGTATTCCTCAACATTGTCACTCGATTTTTGTAAATGAGTGATGTGGCTTTCGAGTACGGCAATTTTATCTTCCATTTCACTAATTTTCTGCTTTTGTTCTTTAATTATATTAAGCAACTTGTCAATACATGATTTCTTCGCCACTTTTTGATCCAGATCATCCAATTTTTCTTTCATAAGTTTGTATAGACTCTCCACAGTAAATTCCAAGGCAGGGTCTGTGGGTGTAGCACCAGATGATTTCTCTTTTCTTGGTTTCGTCATTTTTTGAATTGCTAGATATTATTAGCCTTAGACAGCTTTTAAAAAGTATTCATTAAAAGCAAATTAGAACCATTAAAAATTTTATTTTTAGCCGCTGGCAGGAGCAAGCTAAAGCACGTCTGCCATGAGCGTCCAGCGAAAACAATCCCTGTTGTCCAAGCGACAACAACCCGTGTTGAAATGTGTTGTCTACTATGTTTTGACTAAAAATGAAGGAAAATCATTTAACTTAAAGGACAAGTGACACGCTTTTGGCGCCAATTTTTTTTCTTCTTTTAACTTAAAGTTAAATGCTGTATGAGAGTGTTGTTGAAATATTTTTCCTTTCTGAATTCATTTTCCTACTTAAAAACCCTTTTAAAATTATGGCGGGAAATGAATCACGTGACACCGTGACGTAGATTGTGATAATCTGTTATTGCTGCTACTGGTATACAGTGCAATATTAATGTTTACAACACGCTTCTAAACGAATTTAGTTCGTCTGGACCTGTCGCGTCGTGTTTTGTAGACTCTCTAATAATGACAGGAAAATTCTGAGTTATCACAATGTACGTCATAGGGTCACGT